ACCGTCTCCCTGCCCGACTGCCCCCTAAACCTCCGCCCCATCCAACCCCCTTACCGTGCCACTCAGACCAGCATGTCTGGCTCCGTGCAGCGCCAGACACACTGCTGCATACATGCTGCCATGCTCCCCTGTGGAGCCACAGCTCCCTTGCCCCTGCTTCCCCCCAGCACCTGCCTTCCAGATTTGAACACCTCAAAATTTAGGAGTGCTCAAGCTCAGTTTGGGCGGCTGTTACTTCATTTCTCCCAAATCAAATATACTGATCCACTGTAACTTGCTGTAGAAAAAGGAGGATAAAACTGAGCAAGAAATGCTTCCCAGTGGTTATTAGGACTGGAATTGCTATTTTCAACAGCCATTGGCTTTTTTTGTTTGGTTTGTTTGTTTGTTTGTTTGTTTAAAAGGAAGACAGTGATATTGCATTGGCAAATTCCCCATAGCAAGAAAGAGTGGAAGAAAAGAATAATAAAGGCACCTCAACTTTTTCTCATTTATGTAGGACAGTCTTATAATATGCATCCAGATATCCTCCAATCACACAAGCTGAAAATTGTTCCACTTTACTGCAGTTCTGTAACCATATGGGAACCAATCCTCTCTGTGTTCTGTGCACATCTAAAATTCATGCTGAATGACCTGCCGGGGGAGCGAGTTACCAGTGACCCAGGGCTGCGGCAGAAGGAGGGTGCAGGTGGGGAGGGGGGAAGAGAGCCCAGGGCTGGGGCAGCAGGAAGTGTGTGGGGGGGGCAATGGTGGGGGGGAATGAGGGAGCTCAGAGCTGGGGCAGCAGGGTGGGTGGGGAGAGCCCAGGGCTGGGGCAGCAGGGGGGTGCGGCAGGGAGCCCAGGGCTGGGATGGGGGGCAGCTAAAATTTTTTTTTGCTTGGGGCGGCAAAAAACCTAGAGCCGGCCCTGCTCAGCTAATAGAGAGTAAAGAATAAATGACTGAAATACCAAACTGTCCCCAAAGTTTTTGATGCCTTATTTTACACACTGAAAAAAATGGTTCCTTTTGCTTTAAGATACCACCCCTGTGGTTATTTTAGAAACCTTGCCCACATTTGCTGAATGTTCTAATGCATTACAAACCTTGTCCTATTCCAGGCTCCTGCACAAGGCTGTCACTCAAGGAAGGAGAGCACTGGCATATGCACTTGCACAGAGATTTGCATCTCTAAACAAAATTGATGAGAAGGATGCAGCAAAACGGGTATGACACTAACAGGAAAAAAAATCGGGCACATCTCTAGTACATTAAAGGATCTCTAAGCATTTTCCAAACATTGATTTTAAACTCCTAACACCCCAGTCAGCCAGGTATTACTACTGTCATTTTACAGATGGGGAAACTGAGGTGCAGGGAGGTGAAATGATTTGCAAAAGATCACACAGCAAGTCAGTGGCTGAGCTAGGAATAGAACCCAGGAGTCCTGACACCACGCCCCTCCACCAGTATACCACACTTCCATCCCAGAACCAGGAATAGACCCTAGAAGTCCTGACTCCCAATATTTTCCCCAGCTGCTAATCCCTGCTGCTTAAAGACTTTTCATTTATTCCACTGTAAATTCTCTCTCTCTCTCTCTTATCATTAGACTGCATTACATCTAGCTGCTGAAAAGAACCAGCACCTGATGGTCAACGATTTGATTTCTCTGGGAGCCAATGTCAATGAACAGGACAGTTTAGGGAAAACACCACTCCATCTGTGTGCAGAGAACGGGTACTTAAGAGTTTTGGATGTAAGTAGAGCTTTAATTAGAGATACAGTGTAATTACAGAGACAAAGAGTCCTGTGGCACCTTATAGACTAACAGACGTATTGGAGCATGAGCTTTTGTGGGTGAATACCGACTTCGTCAGACGCATGTAATTACACTATCATATGCACTGGATTTTTCTGCCTGCATTTTGCAGGAAACGCATGCATATTATGCCATGCAAAATGTGAGACGACTCTCTATATATGAGAAACCATGCCACCGGAGATGAACTGGGGTCACTATTGTTATTGTTTTCTTGTACTGTAGCAGTGCCCAGAGGCCACAAACAATATTTACAATTTCTGCATCCTCCTCCTTTCAGGTTCTGAAAAAATGTAAAGAAGGCGGCATGCATGTGGAAGTGGATCTAACTGACCATTATGGTAAGAGATGCCATTTTAACTACAATTAAGCCTACTGTAGAGTTCTCTAAGGCTCCAAACTCTGGCTTTACTCTAGGCTAAGTAATTTTAAACCCCAGAAATTAGGTCGGAAATATCAAGTTGGCAATATTTGCCAGCAACGCCCTGCTGGGAAGGGCTGAATTCTTCCAGCTCACTGAGGCTGGTGCTTTGCTATGCCAGTGGGATATAAAAAAGGTAGAAGTGGTTCTCTACAGGTAGAAGCCCCAGGGTGAGGGCTGAGCAGTCCTGAGGGAAGACCCCCTGGGAATAGCTAAGCCTGGGAAGAAAGCTTGAGTTGAACATTATCTAATTGTTGGTGGTTTTGTTAAAACCAAAATACCCAATCATTTGGATTTAGTCCCCAGAAAGTGTCTGATGTCATTGTGGTTCTTCCTGTTCAGGTTTAACACCATTACACTGTGCAGTTCTTGCTCACACTGCATTAGTGAGGGAGTCTCAAAAAGTCATCAACCACAGTGACATGCGGAAGTTTTTGCAACTGCGCAAAGATAAAATTCTTGAGGGAATTAATTGTTTATTACAAATGGGAGCAAACCCTGGGCTGCAGGTGAGTGTCAGTCTCCGGGTAAATGACTTGTTTACTTGTTTTTGTGGGTGGGTGGGTGGGCGGGTTTCATTTCCCTCCCTTAATTTTAGATTCCTTTTTTCCATAGAAACCAAAATCGTGTCAAACTGCAACTCACTTTCTAAAAATCCAGGAAAATAAGGAGATGATGTGTTTCCTCCAATCTCATGGCCCCAAAAGGGAGGACTTTCTTCAGGAGGTAATTTGGTTAACTTGGTGAAAAGATAGTTGCAGAGGATATATAGAGTTAATATCCAATAAAGAAAACACCATATATATAAACACAATGGCTGAGGTTCTGGCTGTGCATGTAGGTGGCCCAACCAAAAAGGTACAAACCTAAT